AATTTCATTCCAAAGGCACCAGTAATGTTGAAATCATGCAAAATAAATTGTAATTAAACTACTCATCATGATCACACAAGTGAAAGATTAAATGTTAACATATAAAACCATGTGAAATTACCAAATTACAATACATATTCACTCTTTGGTTAAAGGACTTAAATTTTATCTTAGCAATCCAAAAATTTGCATGCAGTCTCAAGTTTAGTAGAAATCCATATCAATTTTGTACGTTGCACTGAATCCAATCCACTGGCTCTCACTTACTACACTCTCTGATCTTTTTCTTTGTTCATTTACCTGAGCCTATTAAACTAGTAGTTTACCTGCACCATCTGGAGGGAGCGGTTTAACATTAATGCTATACTCTGTACTGTGTATAATGCAGCCCAGCACATTTTAATATCATGATAAACATTCAGTTATGGTTCAGATTACCAGTGAACAAGGTCACTTCAGATGGGCTTGTGAATAAATTCTAAGACTAACAAAACTGTTGGCTTACTTTATGCATTCCAAAAGGTAATATGAAGAAAGCTTAAGTATAATCGAGAAAGGTTTTGAAGTGATTTTCAGAAGTGTAGAGGCTGTTCCCTGGTGATATCTGATCTTAAAATTCAGCTCTATGCAAAATTCAGAGACAACTTTAACCTTGAAGCACTGACAACTGAACTGTTTATTCTCACCAGTCACATTTTCACTTGATTGAATGATTTAACTTCTCACATTGAACTGCTGTCAGACTGCTTTGCACCATGTTCTTGTTTAAAACAAAGGTCATCCCTTTGTTTATGACTATCATACTATACATGACTTTTGGCTTGCAACTCCATTAACTTGATGGAATAAAAAGTTTTCAATGTGAAAACATTGAGAATCATGAAGTGTCATTTTTCCAATTCAGACAGGTAACTGCTTTACGAAGGTCACGGTAGTCTTTCTTTGGCGTGTCAAAGTCTCATTTGCAGGGACTTGAGGTTATGGGAGGTCTATGAGTACCAAATTCACAGCATCCAAAAGATTTGGTAGAAGCACCATCAAGTTCTGGGTATGGCGACTCACAAGTCATTGCTTCAATGTAAACTCCATAGTCTGGTAATATCCAAACTTTTCTTTTTGCCAAGGAGAGTTCTGCTGACATTTGAAGAAGCGGCAGCAGCAGGAAACACTAAACCTTTTGTTTTTATAAGAAACCCTACTAGTTCCTGCCTTGAGGGGTTTCTAGACTCATACACTAAGCAGAATAATTTGATTTGAATTTAGGGAGACCATTGTGGCTTTGGTGGCCTAAAGGCAGTAACTCAGAAGAGCTGGAAGCTTAATTGTGTTGAGAAAGTGTGGAGTGTGGTCATCTGGCTACAGGCCTGAAAACAGTTAACATACTACACTGGGTGGAAACTGGCATGTACGAGATGCAGAATTGAGCAATCCTCACTTGATCCTATGTTTTAACTTTCTGGGGTTGCTGACGGAGATCATATTCCCAAGATTTTAGGAATATTCTACTCCCTGCTGCCAGACAGGTCAAAAGCAATGATGGCTATGGGGGGGCGGTGTGGTGGTGGTGGTGGTGGTGGTCTCCTCTGACACTTGTGGTCATTTCTAACAACAACGGCTGCTGATGAAGAAAAAGAAATACTGGATTTAAGAACAGCAATTGGAAAAGTGGGATATAGTTCCTGTTGTGAAGGCATTATTTGATCCTCACGGAACAGCTTCCCTAATATCACACATGTCTTTTGCATGCTATGCTTAGCATCACATGCACAAAGAGTGTCTGAAAAGCCACAACAGCAAGATAGTTGATGTAGCTTGCAAAACTCCAACTCTGGAGGCTGCTAGGACCAATAATGTAACTGAGCAATTTTGGAGTTCTAGTTGTTTTGTCTTCCCTGGAGGTTCCAAAAGAAAACAGTTTATCAATGCTCAGACACATAGCACATTTCCATTCCCAGTCATAGGCTTTAGGAAAAATTTCATTTCAAACTTTTCAGTTCAAATTTCCAAATTTCTGCAAATTAAAATTATATCTATTAGGTGTCAACACTTCATTACAAGTTCACTTGTTCAAAATAACTGCCACTGTTGAGAATTTTATTGCCCCACAATCGGATTTTCCACAAAATAATCTGCATTGTCTTTAGTCCAATCACTATTGGCAGTTATCTCAAATTGTGCAGTTTTGCAATGTTCTGTAAGTTGTAGGAAGTTTTCCATATTGTTGGCCAAGATTGAACAACCCCAAAATTCTTTAAAAAACCACTTCAAAACCTACTTCAACTTCACCTTCACCAGCATTCCTCATATTAGTTTGTGAATGTTTAAGTATGTCAACCAGCAGTCCTAGAAATTATTCACTAGTCCATCTGAAGTGGGCCGGTTCACTGGTAATCCGCAGCACAACCGAAATGATCAAAAACAAACACAGAATGTTGGAGAAACTCCAGTCTAGCAGCATCTGTGAAGACAGAAAAACAGTTAACTTTGAGATCGGTGTGATTCTTATGCAGAACTCAGACCACATCTCAGCTCATATAGAGTCAGAGTCATACAGCACAGAAACAGACCAACTTCAGTCAACAGGCTTTGGTCCAACCGGTCCATGCCAAACTAAACCAGCCTCATTGCCTGCACTTGGCTCATATTCCTTCAAACCTTTGCTATTCGTTTGCCCCTCATGTCTTTAAATCTTTCTCTTCTCACCTTAAAAATGTGCCCCTTAGTTTTGAAATCCCCCAGCCTAGGGAAAAGACACCTGCCATTCACCTTATCTATACCTGTAATGATTTTATAAACCTCTGTAAGGTTATCCCTCAGCCTCCTACCTGCCAGTGAAACATGTCCTAGCCTATTCAGCCTCTGCTTATAACTCAAACCCTCCATTCTGGGCAACATCCTGGTAAATCTCTTTTGAACTCTCTCCAGCTTAATAATATCCTTCCTGTAACAGGAAGACCAGAACTGCACAAAGTATTCCAGAAGAGACCTCACCTACATCCCAACTCCTACACTCAAAAGGTCTGAGCAATGAAAGCCTTCTTAACCACCCTTTCTCTGACGCAAACTTCAAAGAATTATGTACCAGAACTCCTAGGTGTCTGTTCTACAACATTATCCGAGGCCCTACTTTTAATTGCACAAGTCCTGCCCACTTGTTTTACCGAAATGAAATACCTTGCATTTATCCAAACTAAACTCTATTTGACACTCTTCAGTCCATTGACCCAATTGATCAAAATCTCTTCATACACTTAGATAACCTTCTTCACTGTCCATCATATCACCAATCTTGGTGTCATCCACAAACTTATTAACCGTGCCTTCGAGATTCTCATCTAAGTCGTTTATGTAAATGACAAATAAAAGTGCACTCAGTACTGATCCCTGTGGAACATTCCTGGTGACAGGCCTCCAGTCTGAAAAACAACCCTCCGCCATCACCGTTCCTGCCTTTAACCAACTTTGTATCCAATTGGCAAGCTCACCCTGAATCCCATGTGATTTAACTTTACTAATTAGTCTACCCCGTGGAACCTGTCAAAGATTTTCCTAAAGTCCACGTGAACAATATCTGCTGCTCTGCCCTCAAGCTTCTTGGTGACTTCCTCAAAAAAAGTTCAATCAAGTTTGTGAGACACCATGTTCCTCACACAAAACCATGCTGCATATCCATAATCATTCCTTGCCTCTCCAAATGCATATAAATCCTATCTTTCAGAATCACTTCCAACAATTTATCAATTTGCAAAGTTAGACTCGCAGGTTTATACATAGTTTGTGAAACAAGCTCAACACATCAATTATTTTAGGCTCTTATATACTTCAAAACAGACTGGAATGAGAAAGAACAGTGAACAGTTAAGAGTTCGGTATGACTCCCCAGTTCTGATGGGGAACACTGGACACGAAATGTTAACTGTTTTCTCCTTTCTCTTCACAAGATGCTGCCAGACGAGTTTTTCCAACATTGTGGTTGTTTCAGGTTTCCAGTATTTGCAGTATTCTGCCTTCATTGAAAATGATCTCAAAATGTGCTGGGCAGCAGTAATTACAGTATGAAAGATAATAGTAAACCATCTCTTCTCCATCACCCACGTAACCTCCCCCAGCTGAAGTGTGGGCAGAGAACTTGCTAAGTAGCCTCAGGAAAAATCAAAGAAAAAGATCAGAGAAAGAATACTAAGGGAGAGTGAGTGGAATGGGTGTCAGAAAAACAATAAATAAGAGCCCTGGGCAAGGAAAGGCCAGAGCAAAAATGTGCAAAAGCAAGGAGAAAAGTTTTATGTTGTACCTTGTCAGTTCTAGTGACACGAGTTTTTTTTCCACTGGGATCTACACATTTGTATCAGAAATCTTACTTTTTGCAGCACTTCACCTGCCTGGTTACCCAAGCCTGCTGATAAAAGATTCAGAAGTATTTCAAGTCATTTCATTGATGTCTCAGTGTTAACCTTTGTTTAGTGATCTCCCCATGAAGCATGTAGGAACTTGTTTATAACATAGAAAAGGGTACAACATCAATAAGCACGTTGCGTTTAGTTAAGTAATGACTGATTTCGAGTCCTGGGGTAGCATGGATATACAAATAAAAATCAGCTTCCATTTCTATCATTTGCTCGGGATATCTTGAAGGAGCTTCATATCTTTTGGTTAAGCACATTTGTCACCTTGTTCACCTATTACTTTAGAATAGATGGAAATGAGAAAGAACAGAGACACTGAAAAGCAGTTGTTTCTTTATTGACTGCAATTTAGGGTAGGTAATTTTCTTCCCCAAATGCATCAGTGCCAAAAGAAGATGCTTCTTTATTAGAACTGGAAACAAAACACAAAGTTCTATTCACATAGCTGTACATTCCTGAATTGCATAAATAATGGAGGATAAGTGCTCATTTTATAAATATGGTAGTTATAAATACATCAAATGTTGTGGTTATGCAGAAGTTGAGAAACTATGACGCAATGTAAACCCAAAGCACAATAACAAGAAAAAAAATTACCAGGGAGGAATTCTGCCAGCAGAGAGCTTCCCCTTCTGTGCTTCACTTAACAGTTTATTTGCAACTAAGATTGGATTCTTGACCCCTAAAAATAAAATTAGATACCATTTAATATACTTCACCTTACTAAATGCTGAACAGAGTCTTTAATAAATTCTAGTCAGATTCTTCCCCTCCCCCTCTTGATGCACTTCATTACATGACAAATGTAGCCCACTGGCTGCCAAGTGCTTTGTGACATCCGGAGTTTGTAAAAGCTGCTACATAAATGCAATTCTGCTTCCCCTTTGGCATCCTTGGCCCGTCCCATCCTAACTTCATGAATCTCCTTTAAAATACAAACCAACCAATCCAGAATTAACGATGATAGCAATTCCTTTATTCGTACTGCATGCAACTAGACATCCACTTTCACTTAACTAGCTTAAAAAAGTAAATCTTTCAGGATTAATTCTCATTTAATTGCTGCTTTTGTTCTTGCACATATTCAAAAAGCCTCAAAATAATGGATGTTTTCTTTCTCAATACAGGTATTTACAGAAGGACATACCAAGCTTATGCAGAAGGTAACACACAAAACATGTCACAAGTCTTCATACAGGAATAGAAAAATGTACCACTATGGACAAAATACAGCAGAGCTCTAGGACCCTCAAAACTATTTGGTTTAAAAGTCTTAGTTACACTTTTCAGGAGATGACAAACAGAAGGAATGAAATCATTTGTCCACAATTCCAAACCAAAAAGACCTGAACTGAACTCCTTTCTGCAACACTTGCTCAAGAAGTGGCGATAGCCTACAGATAGGATCTGCTGTCTTGACCATGAGATTTACAATTATCTTCCACACCCTCATAATAGGGTAAATATTCTTTATTGTAAAAATGTAAGACGTACAATTCTACATCATAATTTCATTGAAGGGTCAAGATGTCAACGTTCAAAGGAGTGAAGATCAGATGGCTTTTAACGGTGAACTTAATCTCAAACTATGACTGCCTCAATGTGATGTTTATTGATTCTTCCAACATACCCTGTCGATCTTGCACAAATTTATTCAGTACAGAACATGCTCTATGGTTGCACCTTGTGTCAATTTTTGAGTTCTTCAAATAATTTATTAAAACCAGAATTTTGTATTTAAATAATGATTACTATTAAGAATGGATATGGAGAATTTGGGTCATATAAAGTTCTTAGAATAATAGAATCCCTACAATATAGAAGGCAGCTATTCGGCCCATCAAGTTCACACCAAGCTGAAGAGCATTCCAACCAGACCCACCCCACCCCTGTAACCCTGCATTTCCCGCAGCTAATCCAGCTAACCTGCAAATCCATGGACACTAGATGGGCAATTTAGCACAACCAATCTACCTAACCTGCACATCGTTGGACTGTGGAAGGAAACTGGAGCACCCAGAGGAAACCCATGCATTTGTGGGGAGAACATGCAAACTTGACATATACAGGATTCAAGAGGAGAATACAGCTTCACGTTAAAGAAAGAGTGTAAGGAAAGGCAATATTTGATTTATCAACAGGGCACTAAATCAGTGGGTCAGATAACCAGCAGCATAATGTAAAAAAAAAGACAGGCTCAAAAATACAGTATGAACCTTTTAAAAATGGGAATTTAGGGTTTAGGATTCAACTAAATCAGAGGGGAAAGTGAAAAGATATGTGGAAAGAGGTTTGGGTAAGAGACTTTACAAAATATTACTCCATTTCTATGCATAATAATCTTTAGATGCAATGATACGAATGCAGTAGGTTTAGCGAGTTAGTGAGGTAGTGATTAGATGCTCAACTGGTATGAACCAGTTTCTTAAATTCAGCAGTGTACAACTTCAATGCGTGATTATTAATTTCAAATTGGTCTTTGCTACATATACATTTTCAAAAGATGCTTGGAGCAAGGTCCTGCTCAGTGTTGTAACACCATAAATATCACATTGCAAAATCATTCTTCCAACTCCAATAACGAGGAAAACACATGGTTACCAGCTGTGTCATTTTATTTTTCTAACATTTACATACATGGCCAGCATTACTGACTCATAACTTAGTCAGTCATTTGTTATATGGTCAAGTTCATTTGTGGTAGAAAATAATGACACAGCTAGCAGCCATGTACTCCTGAGTTAGAAACATACAAACAGGTCAATTTAAAAAAAAACTAGAACAGAGTGTCATGCAAGTTTAAAAGTATTTTTGACTTGTGCTGCTTTGAGAGTTTTGTCAGATGTTTCATAATGGCAATGACCACCATCTTTTGGAGTAGAAGTGTAAAAGTTCATTCTTGATTTAAGTCACAACTCCTCACTAATATAACTCTTTTCCATAATTTGTCCCAGTTTTTGTGAAGTTGTTTATTATTCATCTTGTCACAGCAGTTCCTCCTCAATTAGACTGAATAGGTTACCAGAGCATCTTCTTTTTAGGAACTCCAGGCTGCTTAAATCAAATCAATTCAGTACTCAACATCCATGAAAAACCCAACCTAAAAAACAAGTTTACATTAGTAAAGCTAACATTACGAACAGAATAAGATATTAAAATGTCACAAATTATTCCTTAAAAACCCTTGATCAAATACATCCATGTGATTCTCTGCTGCACTCTGGTACTACACAATCCCATGACCTCAAATTTCATTCTTGTTGGATGGGTGTACCAAGTATATTGCATTCTTCACAGTTTGCAATGACAGAATGACCGTGTATTAATACACAACAGCAGCAGCAGCAGCAATCTGCATTTATACAGTGCTTTTAATACAGGATTAAAAATCAAGCTGTCTCACAGAGAAGGAATGATATAAAAAAGGATGCTGAGGTAAAGAATGTGAAATCGAAAAGAATGAACAAGTAGACTAATTTCTAGGAGAATCTTGGAGGGAAGCAGCTAGAGAGACTGCAGGAGCCTAGATAGAGAACTCTGGAATGAGAGGTCTACGGTCAACAATACTCAAAGGAAAGGAAGGAGGAAGTGGGGAGATAATGAAGTACAAATGACTGAAGGGTCTCAGTCTTAATGACACTGAAATCATGAGGTTCCAGAAAATGTTTTAAGGCAAGATGAGGTATAAAGTTCTGAAGAAAGGTCACTAGATACAAATAATTAACTCTGCTTTCTCTCCACAAATGCTGCCAGACCTTGAGATTTTCCAGCAATTTCTGATTTCCAGCACCCACAGTTCTTTGTATCTCTTTTGTAAAAATAGTAAGAATATCATTGCTCTCCAGAACCATCTTTGTGTAGTGGTTGGTTTTGGTAGAGGAGAGACGCCTCAGTGCTTGATGCATTTTGCCAGTTCTGGTATAAACTGTTGAACCAACTATATATCGCATTTGCTCAAGTCCAGGCCTCTTCAACTTGATTGATGCAAAGTTGGAGCTACACCAGGGGTAAAGTAAATGTTTTACATGCAATTGAGGGGATAAAAGCTGAAGGCGAGGGAGTGGTTGAACTCATTGACAGCTGAAGTATGACAAATTCAAGATCAAAGGGTTGGCAGCTGGTTGTCTGAAAGTGCAGTCGTCAATGACTTGCAAGAGTTCCTCGGTGCAAAAAGTGAGGTTGGCAACATGCTGAGATGTGGAGTGGTGAGAGATAGGAGAAAGCAGTCTGTGGTCATGGCCACACCAAAAAAAAGTTGATTTATATGGCACTATAAATTACCTAGTAAGTTGTATCAGAGAGTGGACACCATACTCGCACTTGTAAATTTGTTAAAAATCCATCCAATACGGGAATAGGGGAATTTGAGCGGTGGTAGCAAGCAAACAGGAAAGGAAAAGACAATGGATTGGCATTAGTAGAACTATTAAAAACGAGAGTTTACCAGAAATCTGCCAAAACCAAAAGCCCTGCTCTGCCCTGGAAACGGGAGGTTCAAGAAAAGGCCATGTGCAAAATAAATAACTTTAAAGGAACAGATCTAGTTGTTAAGTAGCACCTACTGCTCCAATGCAGTACTTGGGTGAGAAGAAAAATGTAGTCTAGAAGATGCCACATCAGGAAATAGTGAATGGAATAATTACTTTCAGTCTGGATAATGGGTTTAATCTTAATAGGCATAGGATAAATTAAACCTGAATACATATACTTATGGTAGACCACGTGTGGAGTGCCCCTAAATCCGTGGCCCAATCACATGATATTCTTGTCAACTTAAAAGGAAAAAGATAAACTTTTTAAAAGCCAATCTGGGCAAAATTAATTGGAAAATGAGGCTACTGAATGAAATTGGATTTTGGTTGGAAACAAGGCAAGGCAATATAAACTGAACGATACAAGTTGTAGACTCAGACAGTCATACAGCACAGAAATAGACCCTTCGATCCAACCAGTCCATGCCGACCATAATCCCAAACTAAACTAGTCCCACTGCTTGCGCTTGGCCCATATCCCTTCAAACATTTCTTATTCATGTACTAATCTAAATGCTTTTTAAATGTTGAAACTGTACTCAATTTCCACCACTTCCTCTGGAAGTTCAGTCCAGACATGTACAACTCTCTTAAAAAAAAAAGTTGCCCCTCACGTCTTTAAATCTTTCTCCTCTCACCTTAAGAATACGCCCCCTAGTTTTGAAATCCTCCACCCTAGGGAAAAAGACACTTGCCATTCACCCTATCTATGACCCTCATGATTTCATAAACCTCTGTAAAGTCACCTGTCAACTTGCTAAGCTCCAATGAAAAATGTCCAAGCCTATCGTTATAACTCAAACCCTCCATTCCTGACAACATCCTGGCAAATTTCTTTGAACCCTCTCCAGTTTAATAATATCCTTAGTATAACAGGGAGATGAGAACCAGACACAGTACTCCAGAAGAGATCTCACCAATGTCCTGTACTACCTCAACATAACATTCCAACTCCTATACTATAGTGAGGGAAACAAGAAGAGGGACATGGGGTGGATGTACACAAATCTTTAAAGATGATAAGACGGGTGGAAAAGGCCACTAAAACACAAGTGTTGGGAGCCGTATCTTTATCGATGGAGACATGGAGTACGACGCAAGAAAGCTATGCAAAAAGCTTATATACAGCATTAGTTGGGCCACACCTAGAGTAGAGCTATTCATGCACCATGCTTTAAGAAGAATGTCAATGCCTTAGAGGAGGTAGCAGGAATAAGGGACATCAGTTCTTTGGAGAGATAGAGGAGCCAGGGTTGTTCTCCTTAGAGAAGGGAATGTTGGGTGGAGATTTGTTAGAGATGTTTAAAATCATATGAGGTTTTGACAGACAAGACAGGGAGAAACTTCTCAGCGATAGATAGGTCAGTAAACATTGGACAAAAGGTATCAGGATGATTAGCATTGTCATTTACAACATCCGACAATCTGAACAGGTAATGAAAGCAGATTCAGTGGTGACTTTCAGAAGAGCATTAGATAAATTACTTGACAGCAAAAGATTTTCAAGAGCTGCAGGGAAATAACAGAACAGCACTCAGTGGGTCAAATGGTTGCTTTCTGTGCTGTATCATTCTATGATAATCAAGAGAGATTAAAGTAATGACCTTTACCAGACTTCTCTTCGCCTTTAAAAGAAGACCGAATCTATGAATGCTACTGGCTTCAATTATATTTGCTCAATAATGAAACTTTCCAGTCACCAGTGCTAGCACGAAGAGAATTATTTCATTTCAAATCCTTGACCTAGTTGACTAAAATTATTCAACATCATTTGTAGTCAAGAAGTACATACCCCTGAGTGCTCCAACAGCCCCGAAATTCAAGGACTTTCCATCCATTGTACTGGCATCACATTCTATATCCCCTGATAGATTGAGATTGGATCCCATGCCTGCATTGGTGAAAGGAGAGTCCTAAAATGGAAAATTATGAATTTAAATTACATTCCTCCTTTGTAACTTACATAGGAAATAAAACGTGCATTTCTTTTCCTGGTCTTTACATCGAGGCCCGAAATTCAGATGGCCTGAATGCAAGTTTAAGGAATGGAGATTGCTTCATATCACATGTTCAGGACAGTCTCAGTATTTGTTTATCCACTCAGTATTATTTTCCAACATTCTTAGAATGCAATCATCTGCAAGGTAAATAGGACTACTGTCCAAACAAAGAAGGCCAATACTTTCTATCTGCTATTGAGTGTTATTTCTTTTTGAAGTTTAGATTTAACAATGGGTTACTGGTTTGGAGTTTTTTGTTAACATTGCTATGCATTTTGAACTTCTGTCATTTAGAGCTCTTATTGCAAATATTCTGCCACAGAGGGGGTTGTACTTTCATTCAGACTGTGGAAGAGGCTGCAGGATTAACCAGATTCCAAAATATGTAATAATCCATACTCAATTTTTCAATATCATTGTCAAGCAGAGCAATTATCTGCTTCCTTCATATAGTATTTAAGCGTTGGAGTGGGAGAGGAAAAACTTCAGAACTGACAGACTCAATTCCATCACTGTAGTACCAAGGAGGCCTAAAGATAACTCTCAATGAAATGGGGGATAAAGCTTTACTCAGATGTTCATCTGCTCACTGCCAGATAACACCATGTAGGATCAAATTATTTGAAATGCCTACCAGAGTTAACATCTATCCTCTCCAACTTTAAAAATACATTTAATTGTGGTTTATAACAGACTTCTTCAAAAACAGGAACTTAGATAAACAAAAGATGTTATTGTCCCAAGGACTAGCAAGGTGCTAAGAGTGATTTCTTTTCCATTTTAATTCAGCAGAGATGCAAGCTTCTCTATGAAAGCTACAGTTTGCAGTGAATGCAGGTAAAGACTTCAAAGACAGCAAGCATAAATATTTGATGACATCTTGTATTGCAGTAGCTCATGCAGATGAAAAAGTAATGTCTCAAAGAAAATCAATGCAGTACTAATAAAACACAAGATTAATATCATTATAAAAGCTTTAAGTACAGACTTTGATGGCCTTTTTTAAAATTATAAACTATAGACAAAAAGATTTCAATTTGGCTGCACTCTTTTCTTATTTGGTCTGGAATTGTGCTCATTAAGGAAAGATATTAAAAATCCATGTTCCAGTTTAAAGGCCAAATGTCAAGATCAAGAATTCAGGTAGGGTGTAGCACAGTTGGATGCAGACAATAGTTTCCTCTGTACTGCTGCAAATACAAAATTGCACCAGTCTCTCATTTTTCCCATTTCCTAAAAAGTCATTGTGTGCTTTCCAAGTGAGATTGCAAATTGGCACTGATTTTGGGGCAGTTTCTTGCTGGGGGCCATGACCAAAACCACAAAACCAAATTCTTTTGCCAGAAGACAGTGAAAACTTTCATTACATCAGTCTCTGCACGATGTTATTGTTTGATCATGAATTCCAAATGACCAATTCTATTTTGTATCCCTTCTTCGCCATATTTTGAATCTCAATTTCAAGGAACTAGAAATTAACTGGATTGAAAAGAAAAACCTGTTAACACTGAAAAACTGAAAAAAAAATTAGAAACTAATAACAATGGGTTTCAACAATGTCAGAGATAAAAAAGACAGGGTTTTGTTTTAGGTGTACTTTTAATTCTTCTGAAGAACATCACCTGAACATTTCCTAATGCAAATATACTAATGGTATTCTCAGTCTTTTTCATTTTAATTTAAACCTGATGGAATACAAGCTGTCGAGATTAGTCATCTCAGCAAATAGCACTGTTGAATGATGGGGATCCTCAAAAACTGAATTTTCACAGTATTTACTGTATAGCATGAGATTTCACTTAACAGCTAATACAGCAGTACTTAACTTGCCAAAATTCTAGCATATGAAAACAAAGGGAAAAATTATGAAAACACAGAGGTCACGATGCCCTTTGAACTAGCGTGAACAATTCATTTGGCACCAAATGCACACCTATCAGTGAATTGTTTGTTTGTTTGAATTAGTAGTATCTGTTCTTAGAAAGAACGGTAAACTGACCCTCAGATAAAGGTGGAAAAGGAAATCGTGATCATCTGACAGCATGAGTGGCTGTCCTATGGCAGCTGGCCAAAAGGGTTCAGACAACTAATTGACAAAGTGTAGGCTACCTGCCCCTAGGAATATGATATAGAGTGCCAAGCTGAGAGAGGAGTACTCAGGATATGTGGCACTGGGAGAAGCCTGCAGGCATTCGGTCAATTCAGTGCTGGGGCCTACAAAGGTCAGGAGCCAGATTCTGTGCTCAAGCTAGGACGAATTTGCACTGTAGGATCCATACAGGGACCAAGAACAGTGTAAAACTAGAGGCAGAGTGGGTGAAGGGGATCTTCTTCTTGAGAGTTTTTATCAAACAGACCCTGCAGACACCAGCTCTCATTAGGCAAACCCCAGAGAGTAATATTCACGAAGCAGATGGAAGAATGACTTAAGGAGAGGAGGAAGGCCGAGGCAAGAGTTCCCTCACACCTCGACTAAAGAGGAGGATGTTACCCCCATAACTTTAATGGGACCGAAAAATTCTGCACTGACAACCTCTGTCCTCTTGGTATCAGTTAACCACTCCCAATTGTCACAATTGTATAACTTTCTTTATCGAATTAAAAAAACAAAATATCCACTTCTTAAAACTTAATTATCAGAAAATTACTTAAATTGTTGACTGCCTAGATTTGGTAATCGTGATTGCAAAGCCTGAAAAACAGCATCATAATTTTTAGAAAGGGGCAAAAATATAGCAAATGTTCCATAAGTTATAATGAAAGTAATCATAAAGGGTCCTGACCAATCTACCTTGTCTCCTAGCATTTCTATCTACAGAGGATGCAAAGAAAAATTCTGAACTCCTACTCAAGAATGTTCTGAAATACTTTGCTGCTCAGATCCTTACCTCAAGCTCAATAAGAGCTGCTGTAACTACATCAACAGCTAGAACTCCAGCTTGAAGCTTCTCTATTGCCTGAAAGACAAGTAGGCTTCTGGTCAAAATGCCTTAATCACACAATTAACTCAAACTGACAAAAAAAAGATTTATTTTGGAAACAAATTAATTTCTAAATATCATGACTTCTTTGAAAATGTTTCAATTGACTTATATACATTCACAATGCAAGCCAACCTCTCAACACATTAAGATTGCAGCATCAGACAACCAGTAGCAGATACATCCTACCTTTTGGCAAGCTTTCTTACACACTTGTTTATACTCCTTGGCTTTCGACTCAGAATGATAGCCTGCCCCTAAAATAATCAAATTTGAAATAATTAATTGATAATTTACTAAATTATCACAACTGAATAATGCAATTTTAGCTAATCACATAAGCCCCTTTGTAGATCCATCCCGCAGATTGTTGGGCAGCTTTTAAAAGAGAAAAAAATTAGCAAGCTCCCCAAATGCCCAGTGAGTGGGGGGGGACGGCTCACTGTACATCAAATAATTCCAAGCTCAGGAAGCAGTTTGTGCTTCATTAGCTGATTGGAACTAAGGTAAGAAGCAGGATGACACTACAGTGCTACAAAGATTTTAAAAGCACCCGGAGTTCCTACAATAAAAGATAATAATTGGAAGTGAAGTATATATGCATTAAAAGGGGAGATCAGAAGTTGGATAGGGTGTAATGCTGCCTTCTCCCCTCACACTCCTGGCTCACTTGTGCAAGGTATAGAGAACAGCTTCAGAATGATTTTGTTTGAAAGAACTTACTATTAGTGCACAAGTACAGCAGTGACATCTCGTGGCACAAAAGCACCCTAAAATAGAGGGCTGCTTGAGTCAATCCTGATTGGTAGGCTTTATGTGAACTTTTGAAAGCTTTCATATGAAAATTTAGCATGGTAAAGATTAATAACATTAAAATGGAATTAAGATTACTTCTAAAATATCAAATGTATTTTAAAGTGTAGGCTTGCAGCTATGTTTGGTCTCTAGCTTTTTGACCAAATTACTCAAACATCAATAAAAGCATCTAGATTTCCTTCATCCACCCCACCAGACATATCATCAAAGTTTTTTATGCAACAGCACATGCTCTAGTTAACATTATTAGGTCAAACCTCATTAACTGGAGGTGGTCTAGCGGCCACGTACTAGCAGGCTGCATTGAAACAAATGGTAGCAAGCAACTTCACACTTACTTAAACTTGTGAAAAATTATTAAACTTGATGGGATTGTAGAATATTTTCCAATTCAAGCTTAGTTAAATAAGAACATTCAGGTATATCTACAGTACGATGACTGTGATACCTTAGATCTAGACTGCATTAAAATTCATGCATCCAGCTTTCCAGCTTCAGCTCCTTGATTTCATTTCTTCAAATAAACTAGTTGGATGTCACAAAGACTAGGAACAGACTATACATATACATATACATATGCAGTGTTCCAGCAAAGCTCAATGCAAGCTGAAAGAACAACACCTCATTTTCCACTTGGGGACCGTGCAGCCCTCCGGACTCAATATGGAGTTCAATAATTTTACAGCCTAAACTCTCCCATGTCCCAGCCCCCTACCCCACACACCAGGCCTTGTTACCACATAGCCTGCCATTACACACTACCTGTTGTTAGTCACTAATAGTCCCCATTAACAACTATTCACCCTCCCAACCTGATCGTTATCAACCCTTTTGTCTATCCAACTGCTCTTCTCTCTATTTAGGTTCTATCCTATTGTTTACTCCCTACCCCATCCCCCTCCCCTTTTCTCTGCATATAAACTGACGTTTTCCCAGTCACTATCAGTTCTGAGGAAGGGTCACCGGACCCAAAATGTTAACTCTGTTTTCTCCTTCACAGATTCTGCCAGACCTGCTGAGCTTTTCCAGCAACTTCTGTTTTTATTCCCGATTTACAGCATCCGCTGTTCTCTCGGTTTTTATACATATATTGGTACAAGTTATTTAACATTTTATACCCATCGTACAGTGCCGCATTCAAGGAAAGGATACAAATAATATAGTGATGCATATTACAGGTTTGAATAAACCACATGATCTGATATTCTAATTTAATATTGTAAGCTGTAACCCATCTTTGTGTGTAACTTCTGGGATACTTATTACTAGATCAGCATGAATTACACGAAGTTGGAGAGGTTGTTACAAATGATAACAGGGCACTTTTCTGATGAAGGGTCTAGGCCCGAAACGTCAGCCTCTCTGCTCCTATGATGCTGCTTGGCCTGCTGTGTTCATCCAGCCCTGCACCTTGTTGTCTCAAATAAATCTCAAGCCGCTTATACAGTTATTCTGGAACATTTTTAACTAGATTTGTTGCTAAATGCAATATGAGCCAACTGAAGATTAACCTAGCTTGTTTTCAGTAGATGTGATGTATTTGACGTCTTTTTGAGTGGTGCCTGAAGGCATGTCCTTGATGATTATTCACTGAACCGCTGCAAAGTGCCATGATTTTTACTGCAGGTAGGGTGAGAACACAATTATCAGAATTACCTCAGCTGGAATAGAGATCATATCCAGTGCTGTTAACATTAAATCTGATGCACACACTGGTAATGTAGTCAACTGCACCGTCTCATTTCACCCCCTGCCTTGTATCACTACCATCCCCATTAGAGTTTGAAAGCCAATTTAGAGGCACTTTATTGTTGGATATTTTATATTTTATTTTGGACTGTGAGAGGAAACCACAGCACCCAGTGGAAACCTATGCAGACATGGAGAGAATGTGCAAACTCCACACAGACAGTCACTCTGGCACTGAGAGGCAGCTGTGTTAACCACGAAGCCATTGGTCACCCCAATACCTGCACTTGTACAGTCCCTTAAATAGGGAAACATTCACAAACATTAAAAAGGTGCAGTCAATTAATCTTGTATTTATTTGAGACAATAGTTAGGTAATTTTTAAGAGATAACTGGCAGAGAAACATAGGAGCAGGCCATTCAACCCTTCGAGTCTGCTCCGCCATTCATCACAATCATGGCTGATCGTCCAACTCAACTGCCTAATCCTGCTTTCTCCCCATAACTTTTGATCCCATTCACCCTTAGCGCTATATCTAGCTGCCTCTTGAATATGTTCAATGTTCTGGCATCAACTACTCCCTGTGGTAACGAATTCCACAGGCTCACTACTCTTTGGGTGAAGATATGTCTCCTCATCTCCATCCTAAATAGTCTACCTCGAATCCTCAGAGTGAGTGTCCTGGTCCTGGGCACACCCACCTTCAGGAATGTCCTCCCTGCATCTACCCTGTCCAGTCCTGTTAGAATTTTATAAGTCTCTATCAGATCCCCCCCTTATTCATCTGAACTCCAGCAAAAACAATCCTAACCTAGTCAATCTCTCCTCATATGTCAGTCCCGCCATCCCCGGAATCAGCCTGGTAAACTTCGCTGCACTCCCTTGAGAGCAAGAAAAGGACTTCTGCAGTAAAGGAGACCAAAACTGCACACAATATTCTAGGTGTGGCCTCACCAAAGCCCTGTATAACTGCAACACATCCCTGTTCCTGTACTCAAAACCCCTCGCAATGAAGGCAACATACCATTTGCCTTCTTTACCACCTGCTGCACCTGTATGCTTACCTTCAGTGACTGGTGCACAAGGACACTCAGGTCCCACTACACACTTCCCCCTCCCAATTTTCAGTTAGTCATTCAGGTAGTAATCTGCCTTCTTGTTTTTGCTTCCAAAGTGAATAACCTCCCATTAATCCATATTTTACTGCATCTGCCATTGATGTGCCCACTCACCCAACCTGTCGAGATCATGCTGAAGGAACTCTGCTTCCTTGTCACAGTTCACGCTCCCACCCAACTTGGTATCATCTGCAAACCTGGAGTCGTTACACTTTGTTCCCTCATTCAAATCATTATGATATATTGTGATTAGATGGGGTTCCATCACCGATCCGTGCAGCAGCCCACTAGTTACTGCCTGCCAATTTGAAAGGACCCACTAATTCCTATTCTTTACTTCCTCTCTGCCAGCCAGTTTTCTGTCTATCTCAATACACTTCCCCCAATCCCATGCGCTTTAATATTGCACAATAATCTCTTATGCGGGACTTTGTCAAACGCTTTCTGAAAGTCCAAATATACCACATTGACTGGCTCCCCCTTGTCAAATCCACTAGTGACGGCTTCATAGAATTCCAACAGATTTGTCAAGCACGATTTCCCCTTCATAAGTCTATGCTGACTGTCTGATCCTGCCACTGCTTTCTAAATGCTCTGCTATAAAGTCCTTGATAATGGATTTGAGACTTTTCCCCACTACCGATGTTATGGTTATTGGTCTATAATTCCCTGTTTTCTCTCTACCTGCCTTTTTGAATATTGGAGTGACATTATCTACCCTCCAATTTGCACGGACTATTCCAGAGTTTATAGAATCTTGGAAGATGACCATCAATGCATTTGCTATTTCTACAGCCACCTCCTTAAGTACTCTGGGATGTAGATTATCAGGCCCTGGGGATTTATCCATCTTCAATCCCATCATTTTTCCCAGCACCATTTCTCTACTGATATTGATCTCCCTCAATTCTTCCCTCTCACTAAATCCTGCATTCTCCACCAAAGTATGCATTCAGTTGCACAGCCATTTCTCTGCCCCATATTCTGTCTGTAGGGTTCCTATATTTGTCTTCAACAATCTCTTTCTCTTCACATACCTATAGACACTCTTAGTGACAGTCTTTATGTTCTGCAAGCTTACTTTCATGCTGTATTTTCCCCTTCTTAATCAATCCCTTGGTCCTTCTTTGCTGAATTCTAAACTGATCCCAATCCTCAGACGTATTGTTTTTCTTGGCCAATCTTTATGTTTCTTCATTGGATCGGATCCAATCTCTAATTTCGTTTGTTAGCCATGGATTGGCCCTCTTACCCATTTTGCTTTAGTGCCAGACAGGAATAAACAGTTGCTGCAGTTCCCCTACACGTTCCTTGAATGTTTGCTATTGCCTATCCACTGTCATCCCTTTAAGTAACTCTCCCCAATCAAGGCCAACTCATGCCTCACATCTTCATAGTTTCCATTATTAAGATTCAGCATCCTCATCTCCAAATCAACTACCTCAACTCTCCAACTTGATAAAAAGTTCTATCATCATGTTATGGTGGCTGATCGCCAAGCGGTTTTTGCACAGCTACATTGGCAATGATTCGCTTCTCATTACACAGTACCCAGATTAAGATGGCTTGCTCTTTAGTTGGTTCCTCCACATGTTGGTCAAGAAAGCCATCCTGTATACACTCCAGGAATTCC